ACATAATATACATAGCATCCATTCCACAAAAGGCTTATTGGTTATGAGAGGGGGGAGAGGGAGAGCAGAGGTTCATTGTGATATATAACACAGAGGTGAAATATGGGCGGGCGTTAATGAGATAGCAACTGGCACTATTCGCATCGGTACTCTTCGTTTGACTACTGAGGAAGGGAAACGGAGCACGTCTGAGAATGGCCTGAGTGCAGCCATTCTTTATTTATGTATTTATTCGCACTCACACACACACACACCAGCACATTTGCAAACATTCACATTCACATACACACAGCCAGGAAAATAAAATTAACTGGCTGAGGTAACGTGACCTGTGTCTGGCAAGTGAGGATAACCCGGTAAAATCAAGCAACTCAATCCCTGCTGCAGCGGCGGATCCGGGACACAGAATACAAATCCTTCCTCTTGTACAAGAATCGTATAGGTTAGTTGCGTGTCCTTTACAGGACGTTGCAGAACCAAACCAAGCAGCCCCTGGATGTTGTGTGGATGCTCTATGCATATTTACGTCCAGTAGTTGAATCGCATAGACCATAGACTTATGTGGATTCCGGGGTCCCGTTTGTGGGAAAACCCAGAACAGACCCACTGCCTCCCCGCCTTATAGCATGCTGTAAGAGTCGACTAATTTTCGGGTTTTTCCGAAGTTAAGAGTGCTTCCAGTCTGCCTGCAAATAAGTCAGATGGATAAGACGGACGTGCACGCAATGCTCAAATTCTGGAGCAAGACTAAAATCTGGAGGTGGACGACAACGAGAACTTCGTTTTCAGTCGGTGAATGCGAAGAACAAGAAGAAGAATAGCAAATATGTTTCCTGTCTGTGATATATGCAAAGTGACGCTGAAAACTGGAGGCCTAGACACCTTGCGCTCCTCTCCCCCCCCCCCCCCTTTTCCTAATTTCCACACAAAAAAGTATTTTGGTGTACTACTACTACTACTACTACTACTACTACTACTACTACTACTACTACTACTACTACTACTACTACTACTACTACTACTACTACTACTAATACTACTACTACTAATAATAATACTACTTCTACTACTACTACTACTACTACTACTACTACTACTACTACTACTACTACTACTACTACTACTACTACTACTATTATTACTACTACTACTACTACTACTACTACTACTACTACTACTACTACTACTACTACAACGGTTTTTTATTTGTCTCCTCGCCTGTCTTATCAGTTTGCGATTGAAACGCCCATTAACAGCCACACGAGGAAGATCCTGAAATCTGAATGTGTTTGTGAGTAAGAGAAATATAGATTAGACAGACAGCCAGCCAGCCAGCCAGCCAGCCAGCCAGCCAGCCAGCCAGCCAGCCAGCCAGCCAGCCAGCCAGCCAGCCAGCCAGCCAGCCAGCCAGCCAGCCAGCCAGCCAGCCAGACAGACAGACAGACAGACAGACAGACAGACAGACAGACAGACAGACAGACAGACAGACAGACAGACAGACAGACAGACAGACAGACAGACAGACAGACAGACAGACAGACAGACAGACAGACAGACAGACAGATAGATAGATAGATAGATAGATAGATAGATAGATAGATAGATAGATAGATAGATAGATAGATAGATAGATAGATAGATAGATAGATAGATAGATAGATAGATAGATAGATAGATAGATAGATAGATAGATAGATAGATAGATAGATAGATAGAAAAAAAGAAAGACAGAGATATAATTTGTGTGTCTTTGTGTGTGTGAGATAATGTTTGCTCTGTGTGTGTGTGTGTGTGTGTGTGCGTGCGTGCGTGCGTGCGTGTGTGTGCGTGTGTGCGTGCGTGTGTGCGTGCGTGCGTGCGTGCGTGCGTGCGTGCGCGGGCGGGCGGGCGGGCGGGAGGGCGGCGGGCGTGTGTGTGTGTCTATGTGTGTGTGTGTGTGTGTGTGTGTGTGTTTCTTAATGTGTAGATGTATATGTGAATTTGTTCCGGTGTAAACACAATAATCTACCTGGTGAGTAAAAGAAAAACTGTATGCCTCTAGAAAGCGGTATCTAGGTATAAAAAGACCGGGTTAACACAGACATCTGTATGATTAACAGTCATCGATACTGAGACATGTTTCTCAACATGTCGTTCGTGTTGGGCGAAAGCAATCTAATATTGTAATCATAGCGGTAACCGTTTTTCGGGAGGCAATCCTGTTGTGAAAAATGGTTTCAGGGACACACACGACGCTAGTTTTTTTTTTCAATAGGATATTCAATTTAGAAATAACATCTGCAACAAAATTTACTTCCTTTCCAATTGTGAATCTCAAGCCAAACATAAAGACGAGGGCGGAACATGCATGGGAATGTACAGAGTGCTGTGATGTGAACTCTTCACTCAACTCAACTCAACTCAACTCAACTCAAATAAAATATTACTTTAAAAACAAGACATTTTAAATGAGTAGTATGTTAGTCACGGATTTGAAAAAAAAAAATGTATAAAAAATTTAGGATTTTTGAACTAAGTAACAATTTATAATGTGAAACTCAAATTGAATAATAATTTTTAAAATAAAACTTTCACCCATATTTTATAAGGGGATGCTAATGAGAGATTGTTCTCAAATGTGGAATTGTGGCTGGTGATCATTTGGAAACTTGAAAATTAAGTGAACTTAACGCTTGTGTGGCAAAACATTTGACAGAAGGGTAGAGAAAGACATAAAGAAGAGTATGCCGAAACCGCAACCAGCTGTGTGATACCGATGTCTTCAAAGAAGAGGATGATTGAAGACGTAATCGTCACTATCCGCTCGACGCTGATACCCAAAGAACATCCGAAGTCCCAAGTCTAGCGTATGGATTTCATTGCACACGGCTCTAATGTATATAGATCCCTATGGATCTCAGTTGCGGCGTCCGTGGCTTAGGAGTTGCGAGTCCGACTCGTAATCCAGCGTACCGCGATCGAAACCCACTGCTGGCTGCGTGGATTTTTATCATGGCCTGAGGCGTCGCAGGTCGACCCAGCCTAGAATGGGTACCAGGATGGGCTGTCCTGGGGAAGTAAAGACGACCGCCGTAATGCTGACCACATTACCCACCGAGTGAAGATGGTCTGTAAAAATTTGGGAGCTCTTCCCATATGCCCGATACGCCTAAAGGCGCGGAGAGGGATCTTTACTTTTTTTTTTTTTTTTTTATGGATCTCAGTTGCACTTGTGAACCGAACGATGTAGTCAGTAAAACGAAACCCCTACGCCCCTAGCTTGTACAGTTTGTCCCAGAGACTCCCTCTCCGAAGAATAAGAAGACTGAAATTATATAGGGTTATAATCTCGACAAGTAACCTTCAGAGCGAGGGCCAGTAGTGTTGTTAGTTCCAAGACTGGCAAAGAAACAAGCACCAATATTAAACACAATATTAAACAACTGTGGTCATATCATCTTAGAACCGGCTACCCGGTCATCAAATGCCCTCATAAGACCGACGTGTTGGCTGAAACGCGCAAATATCGCAGCCATGCTGTAAACGGGCACGGATGATTTACATCTTCGGATGAATGCAGATGAAAAAGATGTCCCTTTAGTATTGTAAAATAAATTAAAAACTATCCCATAAATTCTCCAAGAAAAGATTAATGGAAGATCATAAAGACTAACTCCAGCTAGAACTGTGTGTGTGTTGAAGATAACTTCGTTTCAGACACGAACAACTCCAGCAGTAAGGACGAACATGTCTACGGAAATGCCCGTTTTGTGAGGCTGGTCTACGGCTGGTCTGTGCGCACAATTGTTCATTATCAATCAGCAAGTCTTTTACACAACGTGCCTCTCTTCACTGCACACCTGAAAGTATCCCTTTCCCTAGCCAGCTCTCCGGTCCCTTGTGGTTTCAATGCTAATGCGTCTACAATGTCATGTATCCGTCTTCGCGGTGGTCGACATCTGCCTCGCCTTCCACAAACTGCACCCTTCATCGCTGTCTTTTCGACGCCACAATAAATTTTGATGTGACCAAAACATTTGAACTTTCTGGGCAGGATTTTGTTTATGAGTTATCGAGTAAATTTATACACAAGTTAAACTCTAGTTTAATTACCTTGCAATATATTTTATATTTTTATTATAATTATTCTTTTTCCGAATGGCTCGCTTATTAATCTGGTTTCAGGTACCAATCTGAATACCTGATGAATACACAAGCGTCGACAGTGTTAATATTGGTAGGAGCAAAGGCGGATCGTAGAGCAACTTAGACAGTAGAAGACTAGAGGGACATTTCCATCATGATGGCCGTATCTGTTTTATCTTGAAAAATATGTGAATTGACTACTCTTAGCCTGTGGAGTTGTGTAGCTGGTGATGTTTTCCCGTTAATACAGGTAAAACCTTTCGTTCTTACATTTGGTGGTACCCAATTTATGACATTTGTGACGTCCGCTTGTTGTTTTAATTCCAATCCGGATCTCTTCGTGGCAACAACATTCAATCTCCTACAATAACAAGTGATGCTTATGTGGATAAGACGGACGCATTTGACAGAATACCAGGCATGACATGGAAGTTCCTGACATAAATGGCCTGCGAGAATGATTTCTTCTTCCTCTTTGTGTTCGGTTTCGTATGTAGGTTGCCTCTATGAATGCGCATGTCGGCTGCAGGTCCTTCGTGGTTTCCCATTGCTTGCTGTGCACAGTCTGCTCTTGTGGGCAGCTTTAGCTTTCTCTTCGAAGGTAGAAGGCTTTGAAATCCTCTCTGAATAACTGACATGAGACAAAATCATATTGCTTGACTGAATAACTGACGTGAGATAAATCCTGGTGTTGGAAACAATTCGTACTCCCGTCTGAAAAGGTAACACAACATGGGATGAGCTGTCAGGAACTTTTATAAACTCACCAATAAGTAAATGTTTGACATGGAACAAATTCACACTTTAGACTGAATAACTGACATAACTTGGACCGAATTGGCGGAGACAATACAAACATTAACATAAAAACTTACCCAGACATATGGATCCTTTGGGGATAAATCCGTCGTTGCACATACAGAGATAGCTGCCCTCGGTGTTAAGGCATTCTTGCTGGCAGTCACCATTGTTGATTGCACATTCGTCGGCGTCTGTTGATGAAATTCAGTATAATAACGCAGATGATGCAGTATAGTATATCAGCAATATTGTCATCATTATTGTTTTATCGGCACTGCCGCTCTTGAGGGAGTGACCGTGGCGTTGGAGGCTAGACGCCCGCCAGCGAATCAGAAGGTCGTGGCTTCGCGTCATGGCGAAGCCGGACTCTTTTTTTTTTTTTTTTGTAAATGACTTTGACCTAGCCTTGAGTGGGTACCAGGTACAGTTCTGGTAAGTAAAGGCGGCCGGCATGATGCTGACCACATCACCCACCAAGTGCCGATTGGTCTATAAAAACCACAGGTCTAGCCCTATATTCCCAAAAGGCGTGAAAAGTAAACCTTAAAAGAAAGGTTGCCTATCTTGAGTTTTATTGCATCAGATATCACCGGTCTGCAATTATCTCTGTAATTGACCTTATCTTTATATCTGGTGGGAGCCACCGAGATGAAGCGGCTAGATAATCATCTGTGTATCCATAGGTCGTGGGTACAAGTCTTGACAAAAGCAAACGTTATCAAGAGGTCGGCTTCCTGTTCGATCTAGCCTTACATGACTGTCAGGTAAGGACCGGGTAGCGCTGCAACGTTGGTCGAAGTTGCTGGGCTGGATTTTATCTGAAATATCTATAGGATTGCATAGAACATAGCGGACTGGCAGAATGTACTGCGAGCCAGGCCTGGAGTTAGACTTGGTGGGGCTCTAAGTCATTAAACGCCACGAGGCACCTACGGTTTTATACCGCAACAGTTAATCTCAGAAAAGTTTAAAATAAATACGTTAATAAGAGGAGGAAGTTGACGCATGCCAAGCCTATTTTTTCTTTAGCGGTTCTTTCCTCTTCTTCCTAACGTCCGTGCCGTGTGGTGTTGGTAGTCACGTGTATCCACAACCTTCTGTCTCGTATACGTTCGATCAACTCTGACACAATACCATGATGTCAGACTGTCCAGCAAGTGTTTTCTCGGTCTTCCTCTGCCTCTCCTCTTCTCCAATTTCCCTACGATTTACTCCAGTTTTCTTCTTCTCATCAAATGACCAGAAAATGTAGATTGTCTTTTTCTGATGTGGACAATCAGTTCTCTTCGTGAGTCAGTTTCTCTCAATACGTCTTTAAGAAGGTTCTCTACTTTTTGATAAAGAGGATTGGAAAGTAGTGTGTTCAGGTCCTGAAAGAACCGGAAGTGTCGGCCCTACCTTAAATGGGTACCAAGTAAATTGTTGGGAAGTGAAATCGGCCGGCGTGATGTTAACCCCATCACTCACTAAATACCGACTTGTCTATAAAATGTAGGTCTAGCCCTATGTGCCCAGTATGCTGGAAAGAGTGGTAAGGGTCTGTTACTGTACTACTACATGCACTACACCGACTCACCCACGCAGGTTCTGGCGTCGCCTGCCAGGGAGTATCCATCGTAGCAGGAGCAGGAGTGAGCCTGATCCCCCGTGGGCGTGCAGTAGTGGTGGCAGCCGCCGTTGTCCGTCTCGCATGGGTTGTCTTCTGTTAGATAATCAACAGATAGAAGTTATTCTAGATGAAATGCTTATGATCTTACTGGTTTTGTCGAAATGTTAGTCAACGTTTTCTGGTTGTTGAAATGACGATAATGTTGGTTATCTTTTTTCAGGTTGTTATGATGTTGATGATCTAGTTGTTGAAAGGTTAAGGATCATATTCTAGTTGTTGAAATTTTGATAATATCGTTCTTGCTGTTGTCCAAATGTTGATCTTATTCTAGTGGTTGCAATGTTGATGATCTTATTCTGGTTGTTTAAATTCTGATAATATTGTTTTTGCTGTTGTCCAAATGTTGATCATATTCTAGTTGTTGTAGTGTTGATGATCTCATTGTAGTTTTTGTAGTGTTGATGATCTTATTGTAGTTGTTGTAGTGTTGATGATCTTATTGTAGTTGTTGTAATGTTGACGAACTTATTCTAGTTGTTGTAATGTTGATGATCTTTTTCTAGCTGTTGTATATTGTTGATGATCTTTTTCTAGTTGTTGTAATGTTGATGATCTTATTCTAGTTGTTGTAATGTTGATGATCTTATTCTAGTTGTTGTAATGTTGACGATCTTTTTCTAGCTGTTGTAATGTTGATGATCTTATTCTAGTTGTTGTAATGTTGACGATCTTATTCTAGTTGTTGTAATGTTGATGATCTTATTCTAGTTGTTGTAATGTTGACGATCTTATTCTAGTTGTTGTAATGTTGACGATCTTTTTCTAGCTGTTGTAATGTTGATGATCTTATTCTAGCTGTTGTAATGTTGATGATCTTATTCTAGTTGTAATGTTGATGATCTTATTCTAGCTGTTGTAATGTTGATGATCTTATTCTAGTTGTAATGTTGACGATCTTATTCTAGTTGTTGCAGTGTTGATGATCTTATTCTAGTTGTTGTAATGTTGACGATCTTATTCTAGCTGTTGTAATGTTGATGATCTTATTCTAGTTGTAATGTTGACGATCTTATTCTAGTTGTTGTAATGTTGATGATCTTATTCTAGTTGTTGTAATGTTGATGATCTTATTCTAGTTGTGGCAATATTAATGATCTTTTTCTAGTTGTTGTAGTGTTGACGATCTTATTCTAGTTGTTGCAATGTTGATGATTTTATTTTTGTTGTTGTATTGTTGATGATCTTATTCTAGTTGTTGCAATGTTGATGATCTTATTCTTGTTGTTGCAATATTGATGATCTTATTCTAGTTGTTGTAATGTTGACGATCTTATTCTAGTTGTTGCATTATTGATGATCTTATTCTTGTTGAAACTCTATATTGTTCTTGCTGTTGTCGAAATGTTGAGGATCTTATGTGATTATTTTTTTTTGAGCACTGTGATTAAAATTGTGTATTACGTCATGTTTCAATCCCCATGTAACCGTTAGTTTAGGATATCACTGGTGTTTTAGTAATTGATCTTAGCTATATAGGTGTTAAATATTGTGAAAGATTTTGATTGAGCCTGTTTATGTTCCTTACATTAAATAAATAAACTAAATAATTAGTCTATTGTTCAATTAATCAAATAAATGAGAAATTAATCCTACTTTGAATACACTCAGGCCACGCGGGTGCACTCCAGATCATATTCTTGCAGAACAGCTGACTGTTGGAGCTGTTCCGGAGCGTGAATCCAAACACACAGGTGTAAGTAGCCACCATGACGTAGCGTTGGCGAACCTCGATACGGGAAAATTTGGTGCCCACTACCGCATGGAGGATTTCCGGTGGGCTAATCTGGAATAGTCGTTGTAAGCCAAGAGTTGATGATGTTGGCGTGGTCTCTCTCTCTCTCTCTCTCTCTCTCTCTCTCTCTCTCTCTCTCTCTCTCTCTCTCTCTCTCTCTCTCTCTCTCTCTCTCTGTGTGTGTATGTGTGTGTATGTGAGTGTGTGTATCTCTCACTGTATTTCTTTCTCTGTGTGCGTGTGAGTATTTCCTTGTTAATGTGAGTGCTGATATGTGCTTTTGTTCTGCTCAAACACGTGAAAGAAAGAAGTTATAAAATGTACATGTTGCTGATAACAATATGACAATGATGACGATGGTGATGATGACGACTGACAATAAATATTTCAGTGGCAAGATGATAACATCAGTACAAGGATGCTGACAGTGTTTGTGATGGTGATATTAACAACAATGATGTTTAATATGTTTATTTTTATATCAATGACCACAGTGATTTTTTATGTGTTTATTATGATCTCAATGACCACAGTGATGTCTAATGTGTTTATTATGATCTTAATGACCGCAGTGATGTTTAATGTGTGTATTATGATCTCAATGACCGCAGTGATGTTTAATGTGTTTATTATGATCTCAATGACCGCAGTGATTTTTATGTGTTTATTATGATCTCAATGACCGCAGTGATGTTTAATGTGTTTATTATGATGTCAATGAGCACAGTGATGTTTAATGTGTTTATTATGATGTCAATGACCACACTGATGTTTAATGTGTTTATTATGATGTCAATGACCACAGTGATGTTTAATGTGTTTATTATGATGTCAATGACCACAGTGATGTTTGATGTGTTTATTATGATCTCAATAACCACAGTGATGTTTAATGTGTTTATTAGGATGTCAAAGACAACAATAATGTTTACAGACAGTAACAACAATGCTCTTTGATCTGTTCGTTATGATGTAAGTGACAACTATTTAATGCGTTTATTATGACATCATTGACAACAGTGATGCTAACTTTGTTTATGATGACGTCAGTAAAACGCATATGTTTACTGTCTTATTATGATGTAAGTGACATCAAGGATGTTCAGTGTGTTTATTTTGACGTCAGTGACAACAAGGATGTTCCATGTGTTATGATGTCAGTGATAAAAATTATAATTAATGTGTTTATGGTTACGTCAGTGACAACAATAATTTTTAATGTGTTTGTGGGTATGCCAATGGCAGTATTGCTGTTTAACGTGTTTATGATGATTTCGGTGACAAAAATGATAATGACTCTGTTTATGATGATTTCAGGTAATAGATCTTTGGCAATGATGAAATCATGGGCAATGCTGATGATGAAGTCACTGACACAAACGCGTGGACAACGAAGACGACGATGACAGTTCTGTCATTTGAGTTGATTTTATTTTATTCAAGAACAGACATTACAGCACTCGGGGCATTCCCATATGAGCTCCGTCCAAATTTTCAGCAACCAGCGAAGAGTTCCGATACTAATGGTGCCAGTAGCATTCTGATTAAACGTCCGTCTTGCCTTTCCTCTGAGCTTCGAGCATCTGCCAGAACCTCTCGTCACTCCCAACTGCATCAATCTCACCAGACTGTGTGATCAACCTGCTCCTCCGCACTGTACACGCTCTCCCGCG